TTCTCGACATTGATTGTCCCTTGTATTCACATGATAAATTATGATTGAGATTTCTCCAATTTTTGTAACACTCTCTCTAACTGTTGAACAATTAAACAAACAATTAAACAAATACCTAAAAAATCGCAAAAACACTTCATTACAAAACAAAAAAAGAATCCACGTCCTATACACTTCATAAAGGCAATAACACAACTTACCTTGAAAAAATAGAAAATACAGTGAAAATTAGGGAGAAAATGGCTAAACCAGGCTGGAAACAGTTGATCGCCGAAGCCGCAGCCGCGTCGCGACCCTTTGGTCGCCTAATCAACTGCCCGGATGACGACTGTACTACGATGGCAATCTTCTTGATAATATAATGATATCCCAACTACCGCTCTACGTCTGGGTTCAAAGGAACTTTTTTCTAATAATTTCCCCAACTTTTAAAATTTTCACCTTTCCAGCGAAATACCGGTGTCCGTCCATATCCTTATAGTGTACGGTTACATAATCGTTACTGCAATCGACTTTCCAACCGGATCGCTCCACGAAACCTGAAGGGAAATCTTTATTGATGAACAGTCGGAAGACTCTTCATTTCTGTGATCACCACAGTTCCATCGTAAATGCTTTCAAATAGTCGGTCACGTTTCCAGAGCGAAACGTTACGGAGGTCATTTCCCACATTTCTTTCAAAATTTCTAGCAAATGATGCCACTACATCGGAGGGGTATACTGCAGCTTGATGGTATGCTCGTCATTTGGATGCGCTTTCCTCTACTTTCCCCACATTACAGGGGAGATACACCAATGAGAAGACCAATGTGACTACACCAACACGATCAGCTTAAAGGCAGTTGGCACGATAAATCTCCCAAGACGACTAGGATCAATACTCCTGGCAGGATAGAATTCCGCGGGCGCTGCGTAGCGGTTTCTCCGAGGAAAGTGTCTTTAATAAGGACCTATCAAGTCCACAATTTTACGTCCCAAACGCCCGACCACGCTCGCTCGCCCACAAATGGACGACCGTTCCTGACGCTCGTATTCATTCATTTGCTAAGCAAATTATGAAGCGAAGGGATGGTATGAAGCTGCCGTGATGCTGCATGCATATATGGGTACACATATGTCAGCCCGTAATCTTCATTAGTGGATGATTTGGTAAAGATGGTTACGGGAAAGCTCGTCCCAGAAATCGAATTTACAATCAAAGAAGGAAGCTTCTTGCCTCGCGGATTTTGACCTGTTTCAACTCCGTTCTTTCGCCATTTCCCCCCACTATACAGCGCCCTACTAGCATTTTAGGCTAAGTAGGAAACCATCGTGCCAACTGCCTTTAAAGTGTATCTCACGCTGAGAGAAGCTCTCAAATAGGAGCAGCCGAGTGTGCACGTACCACAGCCTCTGCAGTAACTTAGAGGAGCAACCAGTACATATTGGGTTGAGGAATAAGTTCGTTCGGTTTTTCCAAAGAGCTTCATTTAAATGATTTGTTTGTTGTTTGGCAAAGTGTTTGCATTCAATAGAAAGTGCTTTTTCTGCTCTACAAAGTGTGTTATTTGTTTGTTGTTATATAATTTCATTTTTTGTTATTTTTCATGGCTTAGAAATGGAATACCCAGGAGGCAAAAATCAGCATTTTCGACTCCTACTTTTCTTCGCTTTCCATCGCGGTCAAAAAGCATCTGAAGCCGCTCGTGATAGATATATAGGGTTTGGGTTTACATGAGGTTTGGGTTTTCTCCAAAGGGTTTGACGATCTAGGTCTCTAGGTCGATCTTTTTCATTGCTTTACCAGTTTTCCCTGAGGAAGTGCCATCAAGAGGGGGAATCTCGAAAAGTCAATAGCCGAAGATAATTTTCTCGGAAGTCAGGTACGACCTCCGTTCAAGTGCATTCCTGATAGTCTCAATGATGATGTACCTTGGTTTGAAAGAGACACTGAACGATTCAAAAGTGTATAGCTGAGCAGGATTGCTAATCTCAGTTGCAGTCGGCATTTTCAGCCCTAAATGTTACAGATGGATCTTCACCATTTACTCGACTGTGGACATCCGAAGACATATTCTTTGATGATATGCAGGGGAACCAGTAGAGACACGCAACAATCATATATCCTCACCGCCTCCTTCCTCCTCTCCGACTGTGAGGAAGAGGGGCGACTGATGAGGGCGAAACGATTGTGCATCCCCGCCCATCCGCTCACCACAGAATGTGCCTTTCGACGAAATTCACTTTTTCTAAGCTCTACATAAGGTGAACTACCACGAGTCCTTCGCTGCTGTCTCCTACAAGGAGGGTAAGGGCGTTGATGGCAGTACCTTGAGCTCTGGACACATTGCAACGCACTCTAAGCTTTCATTTATGCGTATTCTGCTCATTCGTATCCGCGAAACATGGAAGTGGCTGTTCCAATCATTGGTGAAGCTGGAGAGTTGTTTTAACCCCTAATTTCTGCAAATGGAACGGGGTGCATGGGCTGATAAACATTGGTCACCTATTTTCCTTTATCTTTTCGATGAAACACGGCGACAGGCTGTAGCACCAAAAGTGTGCTTCCCACTATTGACATTTGGCGCAGTTTGTCGACGGGGGGGGGCATTTTGCACTTTCGTTGCTTCACTAGTTCTGGTTTACAAGTCTCACTCTGGTGAAACCTGTGAACTCTTGTGAAGCTGGAGCAAGCTCGTCAAGCCATCATGGTAAAACCTGTCAACTCGAGAAGAGGCTGTCTAGATGGGTCGACACGTCGATGGGAAGTCGTCAGTGTGCAAAATGCCCCCTCGTCGACATACAGCGCCTGATATTTTTGCTACAGAATAGAATAATCGAAGATAAGCTGTGACACGTTTTCTTAACGGAAAATCGATCTTTCAATGCAAGCGGAGAGAAAAAGAGCAGTTGATTATGCATGGGCCGTAAACTTTGATTGAATGACGGATTGAAAGCGGTGGCGGCTTACCAGGTGATCGAATGATTTCCAGCGCTTTGCTCATCCCTTCGCATGCCGATTTAAATGCATCACCGTACTGAAAATACATATTAATTTGGTCCTGTATAGAATAGTTGGCCTGCATTGTGAGGTAATCTAAACATGACTGCAAGCACTGTGTAGCCTTAATTTCAACCTCACCTCGGCTTCAAGTGATCGTGAAAGCTCATGCTCAACTCCTTCAACTGTGAATTTCATCCCGAACAGACGTACCCGTGAGAAAGCAGGGAAGAATCAGGCCTGAACGAAAAAAGGATAATTTCAGGATTGGATTGGATAATTGGACATTTCAATAACATATAAAGACATGGGTAGTTGTCATGAAAATGTGCAACTAATAGCCAAAAATAAAATGGATGAATGCTGGTGGATTCCGGAAGAAAACTGTCTGATGGCTGCTTCTACTGGAGGCAGGGCATGTCTTGCCACTAGGGAAAATTTGGTAAATTACGACCTGATCAAATTCCTCCTCGTCCCCCTCCCCTGACCATTCCACTATCATCTTCCTGAATTCTTTCAACACCCTACTTTTCCGTGAGAAAAGGTTTTTCTCTCCAGGTTCTCTCTGAAAACCTACCGTCGAGCAGCGAAGGGTTATATAGGCCAGTGAAACAACGGGAAAAAACCCAAGAAGAGTCAACAACTAAAAGCATTTTTTTTCAAAAAAAAGGAATGCGTTCCCTTTCCTGGGGACCCCCTACGCACGACGTGCCCTGATTGGAGGTCCCGTGAAGATTCTGTACCACTAATTGTGAATTGATCGATAAACGGCATTTTGAACCGGAACTCGCCGTCGCCCGGATAGTCCGGATCATGAAAGGTGTGGGCTGTAAACAGAAGATAATGGACCTCATTGTCAGAAATACGATACGAAGATTCAGCAGAGAAAGTTTTTGCAAGGGGAAATGGTAATATAGGAGCCAATTGTGTCGTGCTACTAGATAACGGAAGAGCGCTATCGCTGCTGTGGTTTGA